TTTAAATCTTTTTAAAGGCTAAATAAATAAGCCTCTTGCCAGTTTTACAACCTAGGAATGTTTCTTTAAGGACCTGGAAGCCATCACTTTGAAATGTAATCAGTCAAGAGGATAGTACACCTAGCTCTCAATGTCCTGGAAGGATGGGAGCCTAATTTCATCTAGCACTTGGCCCCAAGTTGCAAACCTACCTCTGGACATAAAGATATGAGAGATTTATTTTTTTCTTTCAATAATGGCAATTAGCAAACACAAGTGGCTATTGGGGAATTTAAGATGAACTATGTATGCCAAAGGGTGCTTTCAAGTTCTCTTACTTGAGGACTAGTTACCATTTATCTTGAAAATGTGAAAATGGGTTGCATCTGCTTAGCTGTATAAAACGATAAAATTCATTTCTGTCTTTGCAGTTTCTTTAATAGATTGCCTGTGATGTGTATCACGTTCTGGTTTAAAGCTTATTCAGTAATAGAACTGATTTCTTTCTCTTCTGCTTTTGTGGAGGGTTTGTCTGGATTGGCAGGAGATTTTGTTTTTAATTATGCTTTCTTCACAAAGCACAGAGTGGCAGAAAGTTTGAGTCATCCGAAGCACATGTTGCCAGCTGAGGTCAAACAAGGCAATGCTCTGCCTTCTTGTTTCAGCTCTCATACTGTAGACAAGTGTCCTTTTCGTGGTCTATTTAGTGCCATTTTTTTCTCATTTTTGTGCTTTTTATTGGTGATTTTGCTCTTTAAAATGGCCCCCAAGCATAGTGCTAAAGTGCTGTCTAGTATTCTTAAGGGCAAAAAGGATGTGGCATACCTTACAGAGAAAATGTGTGTTAGATCAGTTTCATTCAGGCATGAGTTATAGTGCTGTTGATGGTGAGTCCCATATTAGTGAATCAATATTGTTGTTGTTAGGTGGTATCAAGTCAGTTCTGACTCATAGTGACCCTGTGTACGACAGAACAAAATACTGTCCAGTTCTGTGCCATCCTCCCAATCATTGCTATGTTTGAGCCCATTGTTGCAGCCACTGTGCAGTTCATCTCATTGCAGGTCTTCCTCTTTTTTGCTGACCCTCTGCTTTACCAAGCATGATGTCCTTCTCCAGGGACTGGTCCCTGCTGATAACATGTCCAAATTACATGCAACAAAGTCTCCCCCTCCTCGCTTGTAAGGAACATTCTGGTTGTACTTCTTTGAAGACAGATTTGTTCATTCTTCTGGTAGTCCACGGTATATTCAGTATTCTTCACCAACTTCATAAATGAAAGGCATCAATTTTTGTTCAGTTTTCCTTGTTCATTGTTAAACTTTCGCATGCGTATGAGATGGTTGAAAACACCATGGAGTGGGTCAAGCATACCTTAGTTCTCAAAATGACATCTTTGCTTTTTTAACACTTTAAAGAGGTCTTTTAAAGCAGATTTGCCCAATGCAATACATTATTTGATTTCTTGACTGCTACTTCCATGAGCATTGATCATGGATCCAAGTAAAATGAAATCGTTCACAACATTTTTTCCATTTATCATGATGTTGCTTATTGGTCCAGTTGTGAGGATTTTCGTTTTCTTATGTTGAGGTGTAATCCATACCGAGGGCTATATGTAATCTTTGATCTTCATCAAAAAGTGCTTCAAGTCCTCTTCACTTTCAGCAAGGAAAGTTGTGTCACCTGCATAACACAGGTTGTTGATGAGTCTTCCTCCAATCCAGGTGCCACCTGCTTCTTCATATAGTCCAGCTTTTCGGATTATTTGCTCAGCATACAGATTGAACAAGTATGATGAAAGGATACAAACAAGACACACACCTTTCCTGACTTTAAACCACACAATATCCCCTTGTTTTGTTCAAATGACTGCCTGTTGGTCTATGTATAGGTTCCTCACAAGCACAATTAAGTGTTCTGGAATCTCATTCTTTGCTATGTTATCTGCATCTGTTTGTTGAAACATCTCAATTAGTATTTTGTCAGTTCTTAGAGCCTTGTTTTTCACCAATGCCTTCAGTGCAGCTTGGATTTCTTCCTTCAGTACTGTTGGCTCTGGATCATATGCTGCCTCCTGAAATGGTTGAACTTAGACCAATTCTTTCTGATACAGTGATTCTGTGTATTCTTTCCATCTTGTTTTAAATGCTTCCTGCCTCCTTCAATATTTTGCCCATACCAAACCAAAAAACCAAACCCACTGCTGTCGAGTCGATTCTGACTCATAGTGACCGTATAGGATAGAGTAGAACTGCCCCATAGAGTTTCCAGGGAGTGCCTGGTGGATTTGAACTGCTGACCTTTTGGTTAGCAGCCTAGCTCTTAACCACTGTGCCAGCAGGATTTCCATTTTGCCCATAGAATCCTTCAATATTGTAACTCGAGGTTTGAAAAATTTCTTCAGTGCTTTCAGCTTGAGAAATGCTGAACGTGTTCTTCCTTTTTGGTTTTCTAACTCCAGGTTTCTGTACAGTTCATTATAAGACTTTGTCTTCTTGAGCCACCTTTTTAATCTTCTGTTCAGCTCTTTTACTTCATTATTTCTTTTATTCAGTTTAGCTACTGTATGTTCAAGAGCAAGTTTCAGAGTCTTTTCTGACATCCATTTGATCTTTTCTTTCTTTCCTGTCTTTTTAATGACCTTTGCTTTCTTCATGTATGATGTCCTTGATATCATTCAGCAACTGGTGTGGTCTTCAGTTATTAGTGTACGATGTGTCAAAGTTGTTCTTGAGATGGTCTCTAAATTCAGGTAGGGTATACTGAAGGTCATACTTTGGGTCTTGTGAACTTGTTTTAATTTTCTTCAGCTTCAGTTTGAACTTGTATATGAGTGATTGTTGGTCTTCCACAGTCGGCTTATGGCCTTGTTCTAACTGATGATATTGAGCTTCTCATTGTGTCTTTCCACAGATATAGTTGATTTGATTCTTGTGTTTTTATTTGGTAAGATCCACACATATAGTCCCCGTTTATGTTGTTGAAAAAAGATATTTCCTATGGTTAGGTCATCATGCTTGCAAAATTCTGTCATGCAGTCTCCAGCATCCTTTATCATCAAGACAATGATTTCCAGCTACTGATCCTTCTTCATTTCTAACTTTTGCATTCCATTCACCAGCAATTATCAAGGCATCTTGATTGCATGTTTGATCAATTTCAGCTTACAGAAGTTGGTAAAAATCTTCAGTTTCTTCATCTGTGGCCTTAGTAGTTGGTGCGTAAATTGAAATAATAGTTGTATTAACTGGTCTTCCTTGTAGGCGTATGGATATTATCCTGTCACTGACAGTGGTGGACTTCAGGATAGATCTTGAAATGTTCTTTTTTACAGTGAATGTGATGCCATTCTTCTTCAGTTTGTCATTCCTGACACAGCAGACCATATGATTGTCTGGTTTAAAATGGCCAATACCAGTCTATTTCAGCTCACTAGTGTCTAGGATATCTATCTTCAAATGTTCCATTTCATTTTTGACAACTTCCAATTTTCCTAGATTCATACTTCATACATTCCACGTTTCAATTTTTAATGGATGTTTGCAGCTGTTTCGTCTCATTTTGTGTCATGCCACATCAGCAGATGAAGGTCCTGAGAACTTTACTCCATCCCTGTCATTAAGGTTGACTCTTCTTTGAGGAGGCAGCTCTTTGTTAGTCATATTTTGAGTGTTTTCCAACCTGAGGGGCTCATCTTCCAGGACTATGTCAGACAGTGTTCTGTTGTTATTAATAAAGTTTTCACTGGCCAATTTTTTGAGAAGTAGATGGCCAGGCCCTTCTTCCTAGTCTGTCTTAGTCTGGAAGCTCCGCTGAAACCTGCCACCATGGGTGACCCTGCTGGTATTTGAAGTATTGGTGGCATAGCTTCCAGTGTCACAGCAATGTGCAAGCCACCACAGTACAACAAACTGACAGATGAGTGGTGGAGTGAATCGATAATACATATTAAATAAGTTGTCTTTAAACACAAAAGCACACACAACAAGGTTACGTATTGATCAGCGATGAAATGTTGTGAACAGAGATTTTTAGTAAACGAAACGTGTATTTTCCCTGGAGCAATGACTCACTATCTGCTAACAGTGCGCGTAGTGACTTTATAGAACACAACTATTCAAATGAGAATCAACTTTATAACAAAAGTAAAAAGTTGTTTTTGTTTTTGTTTTTGTTAAAGACTAGTGTTTATTAGCTTATTAGTCTAATAGTATGAAAGTGTTGTCTGAGGACTCGCTTTTATCAAGGTAAGTAGTCATTAAACCCAAAAACCAAACCCTTTGCCGTCAAGTCAGTTCAGACTCACAGGGACCCAGTAGGACAGAGTAGAACTGCAGCATAGGGTTTCCAAGGCTGTCAATCTTCATGGAAGCTGACTGCCACATCTTTTTCCCATGGATTGGCTGGTGAGTTCGAATTGTCTACTTCTTGGTTAGCAGCTGAGCACTTAACCACTGTGCCACCAGGGCTTCAAGTAGTCATTAGTATCTATAAATATACCTATTAATACTGTTGATGTTAGGCTCTGTGGAGTCGATTTTTGATTCATAACGACCCGAAGTGACAGAGTTGAACTGCCCCAGAGAGTTTTCTAGGCTGTAATCTTTATGGAAGCAGATCGCCAAGTCTTTTTGCCATTGAGTGGCTGGGTGGGTTCAAACTGCTAGCCTTTTCCTGTTGGTTAGCAGCCAAGCACTTAACCATTTCGCCACCAGGGTTCCTTAACCTATTAATAGTTAATAGATGTTTGTTTTTTCTTCTTTCCAGCCAACCTTGGAAGTTGATTTTTACCACCATATTTTTATTTCTTTGAAGTTGCGTTATTTTAAATTAATTTTGGTATACAGACTATGATCATGGTCATCAGCCATTAAAATACGTATAATATAAGGTATATTTTGCAGTGTATATGGAAAAATATTTTCAATGCGAAGAAAGTTTGCCTATTATTAATTTCATGTGAGAGAACACAGTTGGTAGCCTTTTCTTTAACCGCTTTTTCCTCACCCATTTAACAGGCTGCAAATTCTGAAACCTTGAATTTGGATAAGAATCAAGAGTCAGTTAACAGTCCAGATAAAAGAGTGACTTCTGCCAACTATGAACATTCCAAGCCTTCAGAAAAAGGAAATGAAAAGGTTAATTTATCATTGGATCGTGTTGAGTTAGTTTCTGAAAGGTAAGTGTTTCTACAAAATTATATTTTAAAAAAAACTAAATATATGCTCATAAGGAGCCCTAGTGGCACAGTGGTTAAGAGCTCAGCTGCTAACCGAAAGGTCGGCAGTTCAAATCCACCAGCTGCTCCTTGGAAACCCTATGGGGCAGTTCTGCTGTATCCTGTAGGGTCATTATGAGTCGGAATTGACTCAGTGGCAATGGGTTTTTTTATATGCTTATAAACATACTCTTTTCTCAGTTAAGCATAGAGTATCTTAAAGCTTTATATTCACATGAACACTGCTTTTAGCTATTATGAAAGAATGGAATTGCTTTTCCAAATCTCTTGTCGTTGTTTTAACAGTACTAAAAATTTGAATTACCATATTTTTACACAAATAACACACACCTTCTACGTTTGTTTGCCAACTGTGCCCACCCTCTGCAAGGTATTTTCATAAGCGTGGTATGCTAATTTTTTTAAAGCAATGTGTTAAAAAAATTGGCATACCTCAAGTGGGGAGCGTATGGTTGGCAAAGAAATGTAGAAGGCATGCATTATTTGAGTAAAGATACAGTAGTGACCAAGTTTTTTGTTGCATTGCTTTCCATCTTCGATATAGTGACTGGAGTAATGAAATTTCAGTAGATGTTCAGTTTTATTCATGGAAAGATCAAGGCCCTATGAAACACTGGTGAAAAAAATTTTACACAGGAAAGTAGGTAAAACTAGGAAAGAAGTCCTTAAAATTGCTTCTTCGTCTAAAGTAGTATGATAACTTTAAATTAGAATGAAGATTGAGTCACAGAGCAGCTGAGACATCCAGTCTCATTTCTGATCTAAAAGATTTGGGGCTGGTAGGGAAGTCCTTCAGTTTAACAAAGAAACATGATCGGTTAGTCTGTATTAGATTGGTGTTCAAGGGGGCACATTTTTTTTTTTCCATTTTCGACCATTTACAGTTTTCCTGGTTCATACTTCATACATTCCATGTTCTATTATTATTACTTTTTTCTACTGTTTGGTTTTAATTTAATTTAATTTTTCTTATTGTGCTTTAAGCGAATATTTACAATTCAAGTTAGTCTCTCATACAGAAATTTATACATACATTGTTTTGTGACCCTAGTTTCTCTCCCTGTACCGTGACAGCACACTCTTTCTTTCCACCCTGGATTTCCTGTGTCCATTCAACCAGCTCCTGGCCCTCTCTGCCTTCTCATCTCACCTCTGGACAGGAGCTGCCCATGTAGTCTCATGTATCTACTTGAGCTAAGAAGCAAACTCCCACGAGTATCATTTTATGTCCCATGGTCCAGTCTAGTCTTTGTCTGAAGAGTTGGCCTCAGGAATGGTTTTAGTCTTGGGCTAACAGAGAGTCCGGGTCTCTCCTGTCTCAATCAATCCATTAAGTGTGGTCTTTTTACTAGAATTTGAGTTCTGCCCCTCACTTTCCTCCTGCTCCGTCAGGGACTCTGTTGTGTTCCCTGTCAGGGTGGTCATTGTAGCCAGGCACCATCTGGTTCTTCTGGACTCAGGCTGATGAAGTCTTTGGTTTATGTGGCCCTTTCTGTCTCTTGGGCTAATACTTTCCTTGTATCCATGGTGTTCTTCATTCTCCTTTACTCCAGGTAGGTTGGGACCAATCGATGCAATCTTAGATGGCCACTCGCTAGCTCTTAAGACCCAAGACGCCACTCACCAAAGTGGGATGCAGAACATTTTCTTAAAAAACTTTGTTATGCCAATTGACCTAGATGTCTCAAGGGGGTACATTTTAATGTATTCTTTTCACTGGTGATTTTCTACAATTTTAAAGCTTCATAATGTTGATTATTTTATACTTAACAGTCACTCCTTAAAGTGCCCTATAGTTTTACTTTAGTATGTTCAGTTATACTTCAATATTTAAAAAGAGAAAAATATTATAAATAAGTGAATTAAAAGATGGCCATTGTTTCCATAAGAACACCCTCCCCCCTAAATAGCTATGCACACTCAAGGATGCTGTAAACTGAGGGCGAGACATCAACAGATCTATACTGCTTATAGCAGATTCTTGGTATTTGGGGATTTAACATGCAGTTTTGACTCTTTGAGAGAAGCCCTAATGTTCCATGATACTGAGGGCTGCATTTTAGTTTTGAGCCAGGAAGCTGCTGTGAAGAAAGCATTTAGTTGGTGGAGATGGCAAGTCATATTTCAGTAAGTCTTTGTTGTTAAACCTCTTGTTCATGTATATGCTGAAATTTGTGAAATAACAGAAAGGGAAAATGCTAGTGATGGAAGTGAAAAAGTTAAGACAGGATTAAGATAGAACTTTCTAGACTAACATATCAAATTTAGTAGTGGCTCTGTCTGTGATGGAGCCCTGGTGGTGCACTGATGAAGAGCTTGGCTGCTAATGGAAAGATTGGCGGTTTGAATCTACCAGCTACTCCTTGGAAACTCTATGGGGCAGTTCTGCTCTGTCCTGTAGGGTCGCTGTCAGTCGGAATGGACTCACCAGCAGTGTTGTTTTTTTTGTCTATGATAGGAATTCCCAGGTGGCACAAATAGTTAAGCACTGAACTACTAGCTGAAAGGTTGATGGTTTGAGCCCACCCAGAGGCTGCTCAGGAGACAAGCCTGGCTGTCTGCTTCCAAAAAAGTCACAGTCTTGAAAGCCCAGTCGAGCAGTTCTATTCTGTACATATGGGGTCGCCATGAGTCAGAATTGACTCGATGGTAACCAACAACAACATCGACGGTAACCAACAACGACATATCTATAATATGAACAAATCCTTCTTATGATCTATACTGGAGGAAGAACCTGTAATTTTGTAAAACTTACAGGCAGCACTCTCAGCCTATGAATGTTAGAGTAGGTGTTAAAAAAGTGTAACTTGGCCCTGATGGCTTCAATGATGAATATTAATAAAATATTTAAGGAAGAAATAACACTAGTTTTAAAGAGACTTTTCCAGAGAGTGCGAAAGAGTTCTTCAGTTCATTTTGTGAGACTAGCATAACCCTGATACAAAAAGTGATTAAAAAACTTTACAAAAATGGCAAATTGCAGCCTACTTTTACCCATGAAATAGATGTAGATATCCTAAACAAGATACTAGTAAATTGAGTTCGTCATTGTTAAGTTACCATCACGTTGAGTCTGACTCGAGTACAACATGCTATAAAAGTTGAGTTTGTCCCCAGAGTGCAAGGTTGATTTAACAGTGAAAAATTAATATAATTTGCCAAGAGAAAAATCATTATAAGCTCATGATAGGTGCAATATTTGATCAAATTAAATGCATAAAAATAATCTGTTTTATGATTAAAAACAGCTGCCTGGCAAACACAGAATAGGAGGTAACTTCCTTAATCTGATAATGAACATCTCCGAAAAACCTAAAACAAACCTGATGGTGGAATATTGAAAGTGTTCCCTTGAGATACAAAATAGGAGAAGGATACCTGCGGTCACCACCTTATATAACATTGTACTGGATGTCTTAGCTAATATAAGCATGCAAAAAATGCAAGAAAAATAAATAACATATAAAGAATTAGAAAAGAAAGAACAGTATTATAATTCTTATATGTTTGGGGTGTGCATATAGGAAATCCAAAAGAACCTACAGATAAATTATTAAAGTTCATACGAGTTTAGCAAGAGATTTGAACTAAAATATATAGAAATCAGTTGTATTCGTATATATCAGATATAAACAATTAGGAACTAAAATTTTGAAAAAAGATGCACACATACGAAGTACCTAGGTATATATTTAACAAGACAGGTAGTAACTGAAGATAATTATAAAACTTTATTGAGATATATTAAAGAAGAATTATTTCAGTGGAGAGAGGTACTATTTTTATGATTTGGACAGTTAAGTATTATAAAATGTTTTCATTTCTGTTCAAATGTATATATTGAGTACAATTTCAGTCACTATCCTAGTGTGTAATTTTATGGAATTTATCAAGCTGATTTGATTTTTAAATGTATATGTAAATACAATGGGTTAAGAAGCCAAGATACCCTTGAAGTTCGAGAAACAAAATGGAAAGAATTTGTCATCAGATGTCAAGACATTACAAAGCTACAGTAATTAGGATAATATGATATTGGCAAATGCTGGACAAATAGATCAGTGTGACGGAGAGTCCAGAAACAAATCCAAGTACATAGGTACATGTGATATGTGATGGAGATTGTGTGGCAGATCATTTGGGAAGTGATTGACTTTTAATAAATGATGCTATCTTAATTCACTATTCATGTTGGGGAAATATGAAAGAAATTAGACTCCCGTGTCAGACTGTACACGAAAACCAATCTCATGTGGATTAAGGAACTGAATATCTAAAGAAAAGTTATAAAGCTTTTAGAAGATAATATAGGAAAATGTCTTCATGAACTTAGATAGGGAAAGATTTCTTAAGACACAAAATGCCCTTGCCATATAAGAAAAATAGATCATTTTTACCACTTTAAAATAGAAACTTCTTTTCTCAAAAGGCACTTTAAAGATAGTGAGAAGACAGGCCATCGAGTGAGAGAAGATACTCGCAGCACATATAACCTGTAGAGGACTAGTACCCAGAAAGTATATAAAGAACTTCAACAGTAAAAGCCAGATAATACAAAAGGAAAATGGGCAAAAGACTTTTATATCCACTTGACAAAGAGGAATTCCAAATGGCCAATAAACTATGAAAAGGTGCTCATCTTCATTAGTAATCAGGGAAATGCAGATAAAACCACAATGAAATACCATTACATATCAGGTAAGGAAAAATAAAACATTTAAAAATCTGACAATACCAGGTATTGATGACGTTTTAAAATAAAGAGAACAGTTTTTATTTAATATTTTTCTGTTGGGTGAGTAAATAGGTACAGCATTCTAGAAAACAATTTGGCATTATCCAGAAGTGTTGAAGATGGCAATATCCTTTGATCCAGCAGTCCCATTTTTTGATATATACCCTTGCTAGAGACATGTACACATGTGCAATAAGGTATA